AACCATCTGCTTGGAGACACCTGTTCCCAGGTCTCATGAAGGAGCATCTCTAGAGGTGGAGCTGAGATCTGCATCTTTAACAAGCTCCCAGGTGATTCTGCTGAATTTTAAAGTTGAGGGACCACTGCCCTAGGGCATGTGTCTTGGAGGGAGCAAGGAGTAAACTGAGCAATTACTACATGTTTAATGCACCTCTCTAATCTAGAGTTGGCATCCTGTCCCTTTGGGTCCTTTCCCTAGGGGGTAGACCGGAGTGTTCACATCTCCATTTGTGAAGCAGGTGAACTGAGGAGAGTAAGCCCCAGGATCACGGCTTTTCTCTCTGATGACAGTGAGAGGTTTAGGACCACAGAATTGTCGGTTAAATCTGGTGTCTGAGTGTCTACTGAGAAGCTGAGAAACCAGTCCCTACTCCGGGTGGCTAGATGACTTTAGCATAAAGTTCAGAGCAGAACTAGATATCCTTCAACAGGAGCAGGTGTGTTTGTGTGTGTGTGTGTGTGTGTGTGTGTGTGTGTGTGTGTAAATACACAGGTCCTCATAACTTCTCTGTGTTCTTGCTGAAGTTACTTCTATTTACTAGTTCCTAAAGACAGGGGCACCGCGATCACCACTGGCCACTGACTCTCACACCTTGAACCCCGCGCCTCGGGGAGATGAGGAATAAGCCAGCTGGCTGCTCACTGATGTCCTGCCTGGAATCCCTAGCATAGTCCCATACCCTCATCAAAGGCATCAGCCTTGGACCCAAAAACATATACTAACTCAATTACATTTGCCTGAGCTCCCTGAAGACAAGCGGTTGAATTTCTCACTAGAGATCTTTCCATTTTGTATTGAATGGAAGCAATATCACGTCAGAGAGGACATCTACTAGGCTCAACAATTGTCGACTATGCTTTTCTCATGATCTTTTCATCCCCAGCAGACACAAGGGCAGTATGAGGACTACGAACCAGAGCTGTGTATCCCAGTTCCTCCTGCGGGGGCTCCCCATCCGGCCCGAGCAACAGGGCATATTCTTCTCCCTATTTCTGGGCATGTACCTGACCACGGTGCTGGGGAACCTGCTTCTCATCCTGCTCATCAGGCTGGACGCTCACCTGCACACGCCGATGTACTTCTTCCTCAGCCACTTGGCCTTCTCAGACATCTCTTTCTCATCTGTCACCGTCCCTAAGATGCTCACAGACATGCAGACTCAGGACCATGCCATCCCCTANATGACAGACTCGTTTGTCACCAGATGCGCGCCTCCTAATCTTCAACCCAGCATGGAATAAGTGCTCAGTAAACATTTCATAACTTGATTTATATTCTGTTACACTCATTCTTTCTTTTTCTTACAATTGTTTAGTATAAATTATGAATTATGATGTGATATTATTATTTCTCTACATAGAAGCTACATAGCTAACAGAATTTATGTCTCTCCTTATTTCCTCGGAATTGATTAGTTTTTTTTAAAAAAAGCAGGTTATTGGGATAAAATGGACATATAAACACCGTAAATATTTAAAGTGTACACTTGGTCTTGTGCTATGTATACGTTGTGAAATGATCACACAAGGAGGCTAATTAATAATCTATCATCAAATCCACATAGTCACCATTTTATTTTACTTTTTGTGGTGAGAAGACTTCATTTAAGATCTACCCTCTTAGCGAATATTAAGTATAGAGTACAGTAGTTTAAACTGTAGCCCTCATGCTGTACTGTAGACCTGAAGAACTTATTCATCTGGCATAACTGAAACTTTGTACATTCTGCTAAGTGAAATAGTGGATTGTCGGAAAAGTCATGACGCATTTTTGCAATGAAAAACATAGAAAAAATACATCGTGACTTTTCTGACAACCCAATAACTCAGACTAAAAAGAGAAACAGTTCCAAATGTCACTTAAATGTGGAATCCAATCTAGTCAAATTCATAGAAGTAGAAAATAGAATGGTGGCTGCCAGGGGCTGGGGGGAAATGAGGTGACAATGGGAATTCATTAGTTTTATGAATTGTTGGAAGACATTGGCATAGAAAGGTGGCAGAATTGGATATTTTAAAGTATCTCCTTTCCTTTTCTCACCTCCCATTTAGTGCTCTTCTCCTAGTTTCTGTTGATGATGGTGATAATGATAGCCAGCAGAGGACACTGTATAGCACCCTTTATTGCTCCAGAAAATTACCCACTCTTGTGGGTTCAGCTGCTCTACTTATAGATTCAAGGCTTCTTCTGGGTTTTAGGGACACTGAACACTGTTTTTTTTTTTTAGATTTTTTTTATTAGGGAATTGGGGATGGGAACAGTGCTAGGGAATTGGGGGAAGGGGAACAGACAAGTTGCTGTCTTTTTGTTCTGCAGTCTAGTTGTGGAGGACGTTGCTTCACTGGCCCAAGTTGGCACCATCATCGCGCTCTTCCCTGGTGAAGCAGATCAGTCGCCGGCTTCTGGCAGGTAGGAGTTCAGACTGGCCAGGGCCCCCTTTGCCAACACCGTGTGATTGATATTGCTTAGCCCCACACACAATCATAATGAAAGCATGCTTCATGCTGGCCTCCTCTGTATCACAACCAAATGATAGGGCATA